AACCTAGCTCCAAACTTCCCATTGAGTCCCCTGTCCACCCTGCCAGGCCCATCTTCTGACATAAGACATGACATTAGGCTGTGAGCTACGACATGGTGAGAATTCAGCTCTCCCTTTCCATGTACATTCCTAAATATGTACAATACTTCTTGACCTACACACTCAATACAGACACCTTCCAAGCAGGTCTTTTTTTAGATAAATGCGAGTACTTCAAAAGGGCTCCCTTGGGTGGTCTGGGCTCATTCCTTAAGGGATTCTGTGTAATGAGCGATTCCTGAGCTGATTGGATTTGAAGAACCCAATGATTCCTCTGAGATTCATCTCAAAGCCTGCAGAATTAGGGACCACACACGGCTTAGCTCAATTAGGAAGGAAGGGGGCAGATGGGGAACTCCTCAGGGCTGGGTTCAAGTTGAGGCTCCACCCTCACGTGCTCTATGGCCTTCGGCCTCCATCTCCTTGTCTATAAATGGGGACAATTATGTCTACATTGTGCAGGACAGCTGGGAAGATTAAATGAGATATATACACAAAATGTCTTGCACATAGTCAGTGCTCAATAAATGAGAGACATTAATGTTTCTAACAAGGGGAAAGAGACAACGAAATAAAATTAACTTGATGGAGAGTTGCCTGTTCATAATAGTGGCTTTCACATCGGCCTCTGGCCCTTACTTCCTCCCTTCAGTTTCCATCTAAAGCTCTCGTTTTTATGTAAAACCCCTGAATTCTGTAAGAACCACATGCATTACTGGAGCCTAAGACTGACCCCTGAAGAGCTTCTGATGGCAACAACATTTCTGCCAAACTCCTGGACACAGGGCTGGGGCCTCAGTCACTCGGTGTTGGTGCAAAGCTCACAAAGACACTCATGATACACAGGAATGGCAGATAAAGCTAAGCATTTAAGTTGCTATGAAAATCAGAGATAGAAGTGAAATTTAATCTTCCATCAGGATCGTGATCATTAGCTCCCTAAGTAAATCAGGCCTGGGCATGCTGCAACTCTCCTGGAGTCTTGTGCATGATGCAATATTTCTACAAACATTTTGATATGAAAACAGATATTTAAGGGGAGACGGCATGCCTCAGGGATTTAGCAGAAAAGCATCTGCTTTGAGGGAGCATTTGGTCCTGTAAAATGACTTCCCTGCACTTGATCTTCCACAGTCTCATATTGAAGTCATAAACCTGTGTTTGTGTCATCAATCTGCTGTTGTGAAAATTATTTTGATGTCAAACACAGGATTATAATTTTACTAGAATCCTTCTCAAGTCTTGAATATTTTAATGCTGGCTATAAAAAAAAGTCCAGCCCCTGACGGAGTAATGGAATATTTCTTTACCTAGTCCCCAAACACTTTGCACACGTTCCTTGTGCTGTCTTGTGATGATCTGGCAAGTAACTCTCTGCTTGCTGTTTACGAGCCTCCTGGGCACTCCATCCCCTCTCCCTGGTCCCACGGGGGCTCTGATCAGGGTGGTCCATGAACTCTCTACCTTTCATCCAACTAACCATGCTGCTCTGCCTTGGCTCCAAACTGTCTTCTCAGAAGCTTTATCCTTTTGTTATTGGCCGCTACTTTTGAAAATCTTTTGTAGCCAAGGGGACTTTGTCTCAAAATGTACTTTGTAAAGCAATTCTATTTTGCTGAAATCTTCCATTCAATTCCTTAAGGCTATGCACATCTCAGGGAGTAGAAACATGAATTCTGGAATCTGTCAAACCTGGTGTCAATTTCTGTTTCTGCCAACTTATCTGATCCTGGCTAAGTTACTTTTTTCCTAAGCCTCACTTTTCATCTAGGAAATGGGAACAATTTGTATCACTACCTCCCAGAATTGTGAGGAGTCAATGCGACAGGCCATGTGGAGCACTTAGCCGAGGTCCTGCACGTTGCAATCCCTCAGTATATTTTAGCCACCTTTCTAATTATTACTTGATGTCTACTCTTAAGAAGTAGCTTAGGTATGGGGCCGGCCCGGTGGCACACTGCTACAGTGCGCCGCTTGGGAAGCACGGCGGCGCTCCCGCCGAGGGTTCAGATCCCGTATACAGACCGGCCGCTCACTGGCTGAGCGAGGTGTGGGAGCAACACCGTGGGTTGCGATCCCGTTGCCGGTCCCGGTCCGGTACGGGCGCGACACTGAGGGTTGCGATCCGTTGCCGGTCACGAAAAAAAGACAAAAAGGAAAAAAAAAAAAATAGCCAGGCTGAATGGAAACACTACTAGATCTGTGCTCATCAGTGTGTATTAAAAGAACTCAAAGTCATTTACAAAAAAAGAGCATTTTACCACTACACATTCCCCAAAAAAGTAGTAAAGAGAAAACTCATTATCTTAATTTTGAACAGAGGAAGCCACAGAAGGGAAAGACCACACAGTGAATGGAAGAATCAGAACCAGAATATAAAAAAACAGCAGAAAAATGCTCACATTCATTTTGCCACTAAAAGAACATTAAAGATGTTTATTGGAGAATGAATTAAACTACATTTTTCAATTATACATGCCGATCACCATAAGACACATCCGAAGTAATAAACATATGTATGGCATGAGTTTTGGGCTAGACTAATTTTAAGTGATTTCTAGTTTGAGTCATCCTCCTCGTCCTTTGCTCAAAGAAATTCTAAAATCACCCCTAGAAAAAAGTATGGAGAAAAAAAGTATGGTACAATGACCTCAATTAATGAAGGCACTCAGATAACTGAAAGTTCTGCTATGGTAAGTGCTCAGAAAAAAGATGTTTAATCCGTAAGAAAATAAGATCATATTAGAGATTGGTTTTCCATATAAACACCAAGAAAACAGGCAGGGCAAGGGTATAGGGTGTGGGGGTAGTATAAATGTGGAAACCACACATAAAATTATTTCCTGAAATATTATGGAATATTTAAAATATATAATTGTTACTATAATTATAATGCATGTGTGCTTATGTATATATACGTGGGCACAAGTTTGTACATGTATATAATTTAATCTGCGATCGGTGTACAATTATCATTCCCACTTTACAGGAAAATGTACCTTTACCCAAATATAGATTCATTGTTGGAGAACTCTATTGGCTATGTTAAATTCAAATACATTTCTCATAATTTCCACCATTGGTCTTAAGAGTTCAGGCTTCTTTTACCTTCTCCAAGGCAGCACTCCAAAGACTGAAAGACATTTGTCTTTTTTAGTAGTATCTTCTCTAGCCTATCTCCTCAAATTTGAGATAGTTTGCACAGCCTGCACTCTCTCCTGGGTCCCTCCCTTGAACACCTGCTAGCTCAACAAAAACGTTTTAAAACTGTGTTGCCCAGAAATAAAGACCCTCACTCAGGAAAAGAGCAATGCAGAATTCACACAGTTGTGATCTGCACAAAGAAAGCTCTATTAATGCAGACTGAAGCTTGGCCCAATCTTCTCTATCTTCAAACTGGAAACACATTAACAGATTTTTCAGAATAAGAACTCTGATTTATTATAGTACTGGTTCTCAACCCTTGTTCCACCCTGACACACCTGAGGAGAGTGGTCATATTCCTCATCCTAAGAAACAAGTAGGGAACACTGAAGGGAACAGAAAAGGGTGAGATAGTTGAAAAAGCCTCAAATATGTTTGACCCTTTGATTATTACTTTTGATAGACTCAAAAGTAACAATGTTCACTATACTAAAAGAAGAAATACAAATTAAATGCTAAAACAATATAAAAAATAATGGAAATGAGGAATTTTGTTAATATTCTAATAAAGAAAGTATGGTTAGGCAGAAGCCCCCATTACTGAGCTTTCCATGTCATAAAGCTTTATTGTATTCCATGCACTCAACGCTCTCCTTCCCCCAAATGGTCACAAAAGGATTTTTTAAAAAAGAGAAAAAAGAAACAACCCTATGAAAGACCAGAAAACATTTCTATATCAAAATTTAAAGTGAAAAAGCCAAATATGTTCTGTCACTTAGAAAACCATATTTTAAGATTTAAGATAGAATGATAAAATCAAAGTGCCCCCAAAATTAATAATGGAAAATATGTCAACAAAGTAACACAAATATGAGTATCAGGAATAGTAGATAAAAATATCAGAGAGATGGTTTTGAAGATCAAGTGGTGAATATGAAAAAAAAATGATCCAGCAACAAGGCTAATAAAAACAAATTTAGAATTCATATTACTTGAAAAAAACACACCTTTTAGAAGAAATATAAATACCAAGAAACCAATGAAAGAAAAGGGAACATTCAACAACTCAAAGTTTGGACCTGCAGGCTGACATTTATTTCTATGACATGGATATAAAGACAAATTGATTTAAAAAATATCAAAAAGCTGTAATCTAATTAGACCACAGATAACACGTATCTGAAACTGAAAGATTATCACATCTTCCCAATCAGTGATGCAATTGGCCCTTGGGGTAGGCTGGCAGGAAAGGTCCTAGGGTGGCCAGAGCCCCAACAGATTGCCTTCAGCCCAAAGGAGCCTTCAGCAACAGCCTCCAGGGAACATGCCAACATTAAGATTTTCTAAAAGCATACCAATGGGAAAAAGGTTTGGAGACAGGAATTACTAGTGACTTTCCATTAACAGAACAGAGAGGTGACTGTTAAATTAGCTGAGTCTTCAATTTTAAAAGTTATCTTCTATGAAAGTCTCTAGTTATCTAGGTTCTTTTCAGACTTTCAATTCCTCCTTCAATCATACCTTTCAAGAGTTTTATAATGCTGAGAGACCTACTCCAGAAAAAATGAAGACTCTCAGCAAGATACACATGAAAAGTTTAATATTGCACCTTAACAGCCATCTTAATTTGGCAAATATATCCCAAGTACTAATCACTAGAAGTTAGCTTTAAATGTGATGGACCTTACAAAAGGTATTCCTTTAGTCTGTACCTACCCTTTACTATTACCAATTCTTGTTAATAAATTCATCAAAGAAACTACCTATTTTTCACCTTTTTACAAATTCTCCTAGAGGTGCAGTTTAACTGTACTCACCTGAATCTGAATAGGAAGATTATCTTTGACTGTATTTAACAGGGTCTCTGTGGGTTTGTCTTTGCACATTAAAACCAGCTCCAAGTCCATATCATCTTTAATCAGCAAGCCTTTTGCAACCAGGCCAATCCTCATTACACCACACAATGTCCGACCACCTTGATCCCTAAAAATAAAAGTCTTTATGATTACTCTTACAACCTATTTCCCAAACTATAACTTAATCATCACTTGGCTTCCTGGATACTAATATGAATTGGTACAACCAGGCCAATCCTCATTACACCACACAATGTCCGACCACCTTGATCCCTAAAAATAAAAGTATTTATGATTACTCTTACAACCTATTTCCCAAACTATAACTTAATCATCACTTGGCTTCCTGGATACTAATATGAATTGGTACGGTATTAATATGTAAATCGAGGTATTAAAAAATCCACACAGAATTAAGTCTCAGATTTAAGGCTCATAAAATATCTATCTTCCCCCAAGGACACAATAGGAAGCATATTTTAGACTAAAGATCTTTTAATTCTTTACAACACATATAGTGCTTAAGAAAACCCAAAGATTGTTCTTTTTAAACTTCCTTCTATTTTTGTTGTTGTTGTTGTTGTTGTTTTAATAGTAACTAAAGAATTTGTGAGAAACATGAAACCAGGGTATACAGAGAAAAAGCATCACAGTAGAAATCTAAATAAAAGACCTGATAGTGCTTGCTGTTTCAGTATCCACAAATGTAAAAAAGCTATCGACTAGGTAAGCTAAGGTCCCTCCTAGCTGTATCATTCTAGGAATACACAAAAGCATATGGGAAAAGCAGAATAATGGGACAAAAGTAAAGAGCAGAGGAAGTAAGGAACAGACTAAAGATAATCTGCAACATATGTATTCCAAATACAGGAGTAGCTAAAAGAGCAAACACTCAAAGAACTTCAAGTCATAAATGGTGCATAAGAAATATGTTCATCTATCTTTGATCTTAATTTTCAAAGCTTCTTATTAGTCCACTTCCCTTCATCGCAAGTGAAAATATTAACTAAGCTTAGCAGTTATTCAATAAGAAAGCAATGCTTGGATACCAAAAACATACTAAAGGAGATCTGGTCTTTCCTGTTCCTGAGGCTTACACTGATCATAATTAAGTAACAAAAGCAGTAATTCAATAAACATTAAATCAGTGAAAAACTATAAAAAGGTGGCACAAGTATAAAAAGAAAGAAAAAGCATTTTAAAGCAAGTGACCCAAGTGTAAGGAATTGTTTGATATTAAGAATAGTCGTCTTTGATTCTTTCTTCCTCTGTATCCCTGACCTCTCATCCTCCCAAATCTAACAATGCTTTATAAATTCCCCCTCCGTAATCACCCTGAAACTACTGCCTTCAAACTAGTTTCTTCAGGCTCCTATTACCGCTCACATAGAATACCTCATCGGACTTATTGACAAACCTCTACCATCTCCCACCTAAAATATACAGTATACCGCAGCCAAAATAATCTTCCAATGGCACTGCTTGCATGACACTCCACCTACTATTTTCCTTGGTGTCCCACTTAACACTAGGATGCTTAGCATATTGGGAGGCAATTTAGAAGGCAACATGACTTCTTGGTTCAAACGCTGACTCTGCCACTTACTGTGTGACATTGGACAAATTACAAATTACTTAACTTCTTTGAGTCTGTTTCATTTGTAAAACAGGAATAATACCTTTCTCATAGAGTGGTACTAAGAACACAGTTTAGTTTAATGTTTAAGTTATCAACTCTGCCCAGAGCCCAATGTATATTAATAGCTCAATAAACAACAATTATTATTCTTTAAACTGTCCCTACACTTTCTCATATGTAGATCTTAGCTGATTTATTTTTTTCTTACACTTTCAAAGCCTGACCCATTCTCTGAGCCTATTCCAAATGCTACCTCCTTCATAAATCTCTTTATGACTTCCAGGACCAGCATATCATCTCTCCCTGCTCTGTACTTTCACATTTTCACAGGATATTGAAGTAAAGATACTAAGAAAACTGGATCTGGAGTCAGAAAGACTTAAATATGAATCTTAGCTCCACCACACACAAGTTAAAAGTTCATTAATGACTCTGAGTTACTCTTTCTTCACAGGCAAATTTGGAGCAGTGGAAATTTCGTACTTAAAATGGGGGCAGAAGAAAGGGTATAATAATAATAGAGACTAGTAGGTTTGCTGTAAGATAATGTGAAAAATAATATGGTACGGGCTGACCCTGTGGCTCACTCGGGAGAGTGCGGCGCTGGGCTAATAATAGAGACTAGTAGGTTTGCTGTAAGATAATGTGAAAAATAATATGGTACGGGCTGACCCTGTGGCTCACTCGGGAGAGTGCGGCGCTGGGCGCGCCGAGGCCGCAGGTTCGGATCCTATATAGGGATGGCCGGTGCGCTCACTGGCTGAGCATGGTGCGGGCAATACCAAGCCAAGGGTTGCGATCCCCTTACCGGTCACAAAAAAGGACAAAAAAATAAATAAATAAAATAATAATATGGTACAATAGCTGGTACTCAATACATGGTAGCTATTACAGGCTAGTCATTATTAGCTCACTTTTAAAATTCTAAATCATAACTATGATATACTTGGTCACATCATCCCATATGTAGAAGACAGCATGATTGAGCAGAGAAACTAAGTCCTAATTCAAACAGTCCTGAATTTGAATACAATAGTTATTGTAAAGCAAGTGACCCAAATACAGTGAATTACTTAAAATTAAGAACAGAGTCCTAATATTCCTAATAATACAAATGGTGGGACTTTATACAATTTATTTTACTTCAGAATCAGCTTGTAAAAAAAGTAAAATAAGAGGTTAAAATAAGAGAGCACAGGTAAAAGATGTCCAACAGTACCTGACAAGAGAAGGTGCTTCATAAATAAAAACTAACCCTCACCTATCTTAGTTGTCCTTTGGAATGCTTAGCACACACCAGAAGCACAATATATGTCTATTATCAGAAAAGAGATCTGTTGGGCCGGCCAGGTGGCGCACTGCTACAGTGCGCCGCTTGGGAAGCGGGGGTTGGGATCCGTTGCCGGACACGGAAAAAAAAAAAAAAAAAAAAAAAAAAGAAAAGAGATCTGTTCTTAGAAGACATGCCTTCCTCTATTTTAAACACAGTAAGAACAGAACCATTCTGCACTCCTTGAGTTCCACCACATGGGAAGAAACATAGACAAGTGCTCAACCCGAGACTGTTCCACAAAATAGAAAGACTTAGACAACCACCAAGAGCATTCACACATAGAGCTATATTAAAAAATCCAAACAAAAGTGTGAAGCACATTATCCTTTAAAACACACTGACATCATCCACTTAAGCAAAAGTCTATAGGAGTACTTTCCAAAAGTATGCTAGAAGAAACAACATTAGAAGATGTATTACGAAGCCCTGAACTCCACTGAAATGTGTACTTAAAAATGGTAAATAAATAAATAAATTTTTAAATTCTTGTGTGTTTTATATATATAGATATATATAACCATAATGTTAAAAAGTTTTTTAAATGACATAAACACATACCAAAGTACAATTTAAATCTGGAGTACATGACTATTTAACTTGCACAAAAACTGGGATATACAGAGAGAGCCAGATCACTGGGTAATATTACTAATTAACACACTATAGATATATATAACCATAATGTTAAAAAGTTTTTTAAATGACATAAACACATACCAAAGTGCAATTTAAATCTGGAGTACATGACTATTTAACTTGCACAAAAACTGGGATATACAGAGAGAGCCAGATCACTGGGTAATATTACTAATTAACACAAACTCCAAATTTGACCAAGACATCATATATGAGAAAAACTGAGTTACTTCCAAGAACCTTCAAAGTGACAAAACTTTGACCAGATACAATATATCAAAATTACCTGTAAACAGCTAACAAAGTAAAAAAATCACATTCCTCACTGAAAAACTGACGTTGACTATCTTTCCTCTGAAGATGAAAAGGTTACACTAACTTTTAGGGAAGAAAATCAGTTTATCAATACTTTCTCACTATTCCTCATCTACTTATCACATTGATATAAAACTGAAAGCTAGAGAAAAAATCCTGCAACCTCCCTTTCACTGATAAGTTGTAGCCAAAATAATGTTTTTAAATCTATTAATATGGTATAGTCAAATGAACATCTTTCAAAGTAAGTTATATACTTATTCTAATCATACTGACATTGCTCAAAACAGTAACTCTAAGCTTAGGATGGCATAGTTTCATGATCTGACTCCAGTTACCATTTCAGCTTCATCTCACTAACCTCTACTATTGTTACAGCATTTAGAATTACTCTACTGTAATTGTTGAAGGGTCTGGTTCCCATTAGACCTTCATTCATTCCACAAATACTCAATAAGCATTTATAATATGTAGGACACTGGGCTAGATCCTGGGAATCAACAAGGTAGATATAGTCAAAAATACCTTTAAAATACATTTCCCTGCACTCTTTCTTCTACCTTAGGATTTTTAAATGACTGACAAAAATGATATTTTATGATTTTCTCAGAGATCAAACACACTACCATTTATTTCAGAATTTAGAAAGATCAACCAACACAGTAAAAGATGACATATAATAACCTTCAAACATAAAGATTTTAAAGACTTGTACACTCTCAAAAGGAATGCTATACACGACCATCTTCTTTTTCTGGCTCTAATCGTTATTCCTTTTTTACTTTCCTTTCAAATTTAACTCAAAAAAACTCCATGTAACACTTACTTCCTTGGTTATAGTCATATATATGCAAAAACCCAAGCACAGCATATCACAAACTCAATCCAACAAGACCCTCAAGCTATTCCGTGCATTCCTGGAAAGCATCTCAAAGGCCAGTCTACACTCACTTGGAACAGTTTTCTACAGCCTCATCTTTCTTCACTTCTGTCTCGCCCTCTGTTTTTGTGCCTTTATTTGTTTCATCCAGCCAATCTGAGACATGTTTAAGAGCGCATTCAACAGTAGACACCATATTCTGAACAGCTTCAAGTTCCTCTGGAGAAGGATAGATTGTTGAATGTTTCACCATAACATGGCGATCATCATTGGCAAAAGACCGAATAGATCTCTGTCAGAAGGAAAAGAAAACAATTACTTCAACAAAAGAAACATCACCTGAAAAAGATGACATACAGTAAGTCAACTCATAGCATTAATTGGCAAACTGTTGTGAAAAGTTAATGTTGGGACAATAAAAAATTGTTCAGGAATGGGAAGTAAAACCCCATTTCACTGAATGCCACACCAAAAACTTAGAATGCTTTCATTCATGTTTTGGTGAAGGTTCACGTAGGTCACACTCAGCATTATGTATATGCTATCTTTAAGCCAAACCTATGCATTTCAAATACCAATTCAAAAAAGGTCATCCATATCATACATCATCTGCAAGAAACAGGTACTTCCTAGCTTCAAGAAAGTCTCTAGAAATGCATAAAAGTGATTCATGATACCCAGCCACTCCTTCCAAACAGCGAGATGTTTGTACCTTAAAAAAATTGAGATTTCATAACCAGTAACAACACAAAATACAGATATATGTGAACACTATAAGAAAACTATGGAAAATACTAGAATATTGTTTACTATTTGACATTCAGATGTTTGGTATGAAGCTTTAATTTTGAAAATAGACTAGCAGGAGACATTCCAAATTCCAAACTGGAAAAAAATCATACTGCGAGACATCAACTTAATTTAATTTATAAGTTAATTTACATATGTATTACACTCTCAATCAAAATCTCCTCAGGACTGATTTACTTAAACCTGAACAAAAACCATTTTAAAGCTCATTTGAAGAAGAAAAAAATAATCAATGAGAATATCAAGAAATAGTCTAGAAAGCGTCCGACGGATGGTACCATCGTACTAGAAGAAAATAACAGAAAATTTTAAACAGCAATAACTAAAATGACATGCTGGCTCAGAAATCAGTGAGGTAGACAAATGCCAAGAAGTAGAATGAATTTCATGAAAATTTAACAGAGTAGATCCTTCACACTCATGAATCACACATCTTAAAACCTTTGAATATTTCCAAATTTACAAATATTGTGAAGATACTTGTACCGGTTACCAGTACTGAAACAACACCGTACCTCACAAATATGTGCAAGTAAATGTTAAGATAAATTAAAAAAAAAAAAGAAAAAGCAAGCAAGCAAGCAAGCAGTAGGAGAAATTGAAAAACACTTACCAATTAAATGATATAAAAACACAAAATTTCTACATCAGAAAATCTAAGCTAAAATTACAATGAATAAACAAGGTAAGGAATTTTCATCAACTATGACAAACAATATATATAAAGCATTTCTTTAAGTTGTCAGAATATCAAGTCTATAAAAAATTTGCTGAAGAGGCAAATAATACACATGGGAGAAAATACAAGTCATAGTGTGGTTTTTCACATTTCACCATAAAACTAAAATGACAGGGAAAATTCCAAGTTAACATATTTTTCCCACCATCCAAATCTAAAATAGAATTTCTTCTGTAAAGAGCAAATCAACAAAGTTATAATCCTTTAAGACATTTAGAGGAAAAATTCACACAACATCCTCCAGAACCAAAAAACTAGGGGAAAAAATTCAGCACATTTTACCAATTACACACCTAGACACCAGAGGTTATGACCTCATCTAACATCACAAATTCAATTTAAGTCAGAAATGTCCACAAAAAGCAAGGTTTCCTTGATACTCCATTCAGCAGCCCCTAGTACACCCAACACTTGACCCTATTATTTTAAAAGCATGTGAAAGAAGTAGCTTTATGAGTTAAGCATTCACACATTTTATAAACTTTTACACCATTCATATAACTAATTAAAAGGATTGGTTCAGGATTTTTAATTTCCATGAGAAAAAACTGAACTTCAGACAGAAGAGACCAGAGAAAAATTACTTAATTTCAAGCTCAAGCTCACCTAGCTATTTGTATTGGCTTGTTAATACCAGTTTTATTAGAAAATATTATTTAAGGTGGGTCTGAGTACAGTGGTCTTTACAACTAACCTCACAACCAGTTACAGATTTCTTTGTTCCCTCTCCACTCCCACTGCTTTGTGTGACTTGATAAAAAATAGTAAAAAATATAAAGAAAGAAAATACTATTTAAGAGCATTCCTTCTTTCATATTTAATAACGTATAATCTGCAGGCTCATTGGGCTTCATCTTGTGGTTTATAGGGCTCGTAATAAATCTGAACTCATTTGCTTTGAAAGTGCCAATAGTAGAGTGCCATCTTTATCTGATGCACTAGAGCCAAAAATTAACCCCATTATTTTTCTCTTGCCCTCACTATTAACACTTCCAATTTAAAATTATTATAATCTTTTGTAACTAAATTAAGGAAATATCAATTATAACCTACCATGGTTTTCTAGTTTTTAAGCTTCTTTTTCCGATCCTTTCCCCTCTTTCTTGTCGTCTTCACTAGACACTGTTTTGTGTGACAGTACCTCCTCATAAGCCTGAGTCCCCGGACAGCCCAGTGTCAATATGGCAAAGATCTTTAAGACTTGTTCTCTGGAATACACCTGTAACAGAATAGGAAAAACAACTTTTCAAAAATGCTTAATTACAATTTTCTCAAATCTAAGTGTGGAGCTCATAAACATGTTATTTATCAAAAAGAAACAAACCTTATAGCAGAAAATCAACACCTGTAACAGAATAGGAAAAACAACTTTTCAAAAATGCTTAATTACAATTTTCTCAAATCCAAGTGTGGAGCTCATAAACATGTTATTTATCAAAAAGAAACAAACCTTATAGCAGAAAATCACCTCATTTCAAACAAAAAGCTAATACATCTTGGGCCCAAGAGCATAGATATGGCCAGAAAATTGATCATCCTGTTAGCCCCAATGCAGCGGCTGGCTGACTTGCACTCAATGAGATAACTGTATTTGCTGACACAAATTCAATCAAGAAACCCCACCTGAAAGAGTAATACTACTACTGGTGGCAACAATGTTGCAATTAATTCATCCAATTTTCAATTAAAAAATCGGTATTAGACCAATGTAAAAAGAGACCCTACACCCCCCCTCAGCCTATACCCACTGCCATGCCAGACTCCTGAATATTCACAAGATCCTAATTTCATTACTTGTTGGTGTTCCTCACCAAAATCCCACAGCACATTTCTGCCCAGAAGCCTAATCACCATTCTATTACGCACTTAGTTCCACCTCTATGAGATTTTATTTTTAACTCCAGATAGCGTAAAAGTAAACTCATCTGAGCACTGATGAAATACTTATATATTCTAAACCCAGCTATAATTTTTTTAAAAGGGCTAACATCAAAACAGAACGTTTTAACTACATAGGTATCACAAGGTAACTTACATACCACAGACTTCCTCTTCAATATGTATAAGTATCTTTCCTTTAAATTTAATTTCCTTTAAAGAAGGAAATCTGCATAGAAGACTATTGCCAATAACAGTTTATTAATATTATCCAGTTTTCTCTCAAAGAAAGAAATTCCTTCTTGAATTTCTGGGACCAGGAAAGTTACAGGAGTGACATTTAACTCTCCTCAAACTACAAATGAAAACACAGACCCAAAACTGTATTCAAATGACACTCAGCTGTGACCTACAAGCAAAACTATTCATATCCTGGTAACCAATGTCCGTATTTCTGTTTTATAAAATCCACCTGAAAAAACCTAGTGGAACTTGATTTAAAAAAAAAAAAAAAAAAGATTATGTAACTGAACAAGTTCTAATAAATAGAGCTTACTTTGATTATTATACATACCACATTAGGGTGGGAATGCACAAGTGCTAAAACTCATAGGGTCCTTTTGTACAAGAGATATCTCAAAATGCTCGTCACTAAAATTATACCTTTCATAAAAAGACTGTACCACGCAACTTTAGAGTGTTTGGCATCTCCTATTGCCAACCCTACTACATTCTAAGGGATTCAACCATTCAGTCCTTAGCTGTGAATCTAGCAGCCAATAAGACTGCTATGTATTCAATTGAGAATTGAAACAAAGTCCTCAAGATTTACTCTGTAAAAAGGTGAAGCCAATAAATCTACCGTATTAAGAAAGTATATTGAAAGTTGGGCCAGCCCGTGGCTCACTCGGTAGAGTGCGGT